AGGGCCGGCGACCGCCCCGCTGCGTTCCGGCCCCGGCGCCTAACGGGCCTGGCTGCGGGGGTTTCCCCGGCACCTGCGCGCTACACCCGGCAGAGGCCTCCGCGGGGAGCAGAGCCGCGGTGGAAGGCAGAGTGGGGTGGTTTTGAGTGCACGCTGCCAGTGCCGGCGGCAAATGCGTTTCTTTTAATATCTGGGCTTTTCCGAAATGCAACGGGGCAGGGAAAGTATGAACACGAGTACGTGAAGTTCAGCCGTTTGGGTGAAAAGAGGGGAAACCAGTGGCTGGTGGGGAAGAGCTTGTCTGCCCCTACCAAACTCGTGAGAGCCCCTGCGAAAGTTTCCTTCTCGTCAGCGGGGTCATGGGGAAGCACAGAATGGTCAGGGTTGGAGGGGACCTCTGGAGATCATCTAGTCCAACCCCCCCGCCAGAGCAGGGTCACCTACAGCAGGTTGCACACGACAGCGTTCAGGCGGGTTTGGAATGTCTCCAGAGTGGGAGACTCCACCACCTCTCTGGGCAGCCTGTTCCAGTGCTGGGGGAAGTCAGTTTGTGGGACACCCGGCTGTGAGGCAACTATCACATCATGGAACAGGCTGGAGTGTCAAACGTCAGTATCGCCACAGATCTCCTCACAGGCAAAGCAAGAGCCTTGGCTGCTGGTTTCCCTCCAGCTCCCCTATTCAGGCTTGCAGGGATCTGAAGGTCGAACTCAGACATTGACATTTTTAGGATCAGTGTGCCAAGGCCAAAGTCCCAGCAGGCGGAAGACAGGGAAGCTGAGTGTTGGGCATTTCTGAGCGATTCGGACAGCCCAGCCATGATGGATTACTGGAAGTAATACCTCAATGGCATCCTGGCAGACAGAAACACTGAAGATGTGGCTGTCATGGGCCTCTCACAACAAGCACGTGTGGGTGACCAAGCCAGGAGGTCTCCTCACAGCTCTCTCGGCTCAAGAAGTGGGCTTGATCACAGGCCAGGATCAGACAATATTCCTGCTAACAGGAATCACCATAACTGGCAAGAAGTGCGGTGTGATTCGTGACAACCTGCTGGTGGATGAAAATGACATGATATATGTCAGAAGCAAAGGCAGTGACAGCAGATCCATCTGTATGGGCAAGACCCCCAAGTCCCTGATCGTCCTCATGGGCAAGAAGGGAGTCCACAGAGGAGCCCTCAACCAAAAGGTGCACAATATGATTGTGGGCATGAAAGCATGAAGCAAATAGTGCCAAAGAGACAGACATCTTCTGCCCGAGCACAGGGGCACGGTCTTTGCTGTAGCAGAGAAGGGAAATAAACCTAATTTTGTTGCACGTCTTTGCCTGCTTCTTTCAGGTGGGGGCACTGCTGGGCAGGCAGCAGTGCTGGGACACTTCACAGTCTACCTGACCAGCTGTGGCGCAGAAGGGAGTAATACCTACATTCCTCATCAAGACACTCGGTATCACTTGAGTGGTCTCCTGGCCACCTTGGGAAGTTGCTCCCTGTTATTATACTGACTGATTTTGGGGTGAAGGACTCTGATAACATTAGCTTTGGGAAAGGGCAGGAGGGAGGGCAATCAATCCCTTTGCCTTCTTGCTCATCATCCGTCTTTAAATCATGCCGTAATGCCATTCATGGTTTTTGAGACCTAAGCGGGACTTACTGTGTATTTTTAATTTGCCCCTGGAACAAGCCCAGTTTATTCTGGAGATTCACTGTTGATGAGCAGAGCCTTGTACTGCTGTTGGACTGTGGGAGGCACGTGCGGAGATAGTCTGCCACCTGCTCACCCTCCATATCATTTGAAACCCCTTCTTACTCTACTTCACTGAGCAAACTGTTTTTTTTACCATATAAGTTACCTGTCTTGCATCCATGGCACGGGTATCATCTGAAGGTTGTTTCCTTTCCATCCTGCCCAGTCACACTGTCTGGTCTCGTGATCACGGGTCCCTCTAAGCCCCCCAGGATACCCGTGGGGGGAGGACACGGAGTTGTGCCGCGCGCTGCAGATTTCCTCCTCCATTCACCAGTACAGCCCTCCCCTCCTGCTCCTGCTTGTAAACCTAAACAGCCGATCTAAAATGGGGCAGAACTGGTGTATTGGAGATGGGACTGACGCAGGGGAGACTCAGGGGGTATCTCCAGCAGGGCCAATCTCCTCACACACGGGCTTTCTTTGCTCCATCGCTCCTGGCAGCTGTGGCAGCAAGCCTGAATCCACCACACGCCATCCCACCGCAGCACAGGCGGGCTGCGACCACTCACCCGGTGAGGCACCCTGTCCTCCATACCCCTGGGACCCCCCCTGCATTGTGCCAGGTAAACCATAGGTGCTAAACTGCTTGGTCTGGTTTGACCAGACCTCCCCCACCACCTTCAAATTGTTCACCCACTGAGTCAAAAATAATTAGTTGTGATGACTTTTATGACTCTGCCACAGACACGAGAGGAGAGCCAGCCCTGCTGAGCAGACTGAGAGCCCTTGCGTGCTCTTCGATAACTGTTAATCTTCTCATTTAACATGGAGTCAATATTTTGTAACTTAACTGAAATCACACAGAGATCTTTAATCTGCAATTGCACCCACAGGAGCAGAAAAACACTGTAAGGGGAACCAGGCATCTAATGTATTAGGAAATGTTCAACAACACTGCAATGACAGCCTAATTAGTAAGCACTGTCTGATAAGCAGTGCTTACAAGCATGAATAAAAACAAATTAACATAAGTACTAAAGGGGTAAAACCACAAAAACGCAAACTGTTTTTAGAATCTAGCAACAAAAGCAATGTATCAAATGCAATAAATGAAAAATAATATTTATGCTGGCAACAAGTTTTTTAAAAAGCATGGGCACGAAACATTGATGCTTATTTTGACAAGCTGAAGGCAAAAATGAGTAACTATCTCCTGTGATTTCTCAAGCACTGGTAGTATTCTCTGCTGTGCAGATTACAAAATGCAGAAAGCTTTTGCCCTCTGAACTTCAGTCTATGAAGCATCAAAATGACAGGATTTGGAATAAGAGGAAAAAAAAATGGGTGATTTACTGCTTGTTCCCTTCTTCTGCGTGCCAGAGAAAATAGGTCTGGAGTGTATTTATACTTTTCCAGCATGAGAATTTGGATAAGTATGGACCTATACAGTGTGATGGTGGTGTGAATAGCTACAGCTCCTCCTTAGCTATACATTAGGGGCAGCACAATGGTGTGCAAACCCAGATTCTTTCAGTTTGAAGGATTTGTTAACTAAATTCAGAAATAACTCACCTTTGCTAATGATTGCATATTAATTTAGAGAAAATACAATTTCTAAATCCAAGAAGGTCCTTAAAATTTTATTCCTTAAATTTACCAGCTTGGAGCCTAAGGAGATTTTGTTCAGACCAGCCCCGAAAAACAGCTGTAACATTCAGCCCTGACTCTTCTTGCAGACTACGGCATGAAGGAGCTTAAAGAGGACTAACAGAAGGCGGCAGCATCTGCATAACCTCTGCTCTCCTGCTGCGATACAAGGAACGTAAAATTAGAAATAGCTGCAGAGAGCTTGGTTGTGGCTTAACGTTTCAGGTCTAAGACTGCAGCCTTTGAGAAAAGCCCTCTTCATCCATACACCAGGCACCTCTCAAAAAGCCTCTCAATAGCTTGACCAGCACGTTTGTTTAATCCTCCATCCCAGGCGCACCTGTGCTTACCTAGGAGCCACCAACTCCTCCTGCTGTAAAGCAATGGGAATAGAGCCATTCAGACAAAATGTAGGTACTGTGTTTCTTACAATCCACAGCCTCTTGTGCAACAGGATTGTATTTGCCGTAGCCAGAGCGGGCACGATAAACCTGCACGTAAAAGGAAATGACCCCTTTTTCAATTGCTTATAACTTCATTAAACTTTGGGACAGTTGTGCTGAAATTCTCTCCACCAGGTCCTTGCCTCGGGCTGCTCAAAATGTGTGTGATCGGACAGAGCATTTGAAGTGTCAATCCCACAGCAAACTGGGGCCAGGCTCACTCAGTCATGGAAGCAGGCGGTGCTGGCGTATCTTGGAAAAGCACATTGTCAGCTCAGAAGCATCCACGTGCCAAATTTTCTGGTGGAACAAATTTTGTGGAAAAAGTAATGGCATATCTGCCTTCAGATGGAGTGGGCAATTGGAGATAATTCTTCTAGAGACAATCCTAGACTCTTGTAACAATGGCTCAATCAGAGGTCAAAGAAAGGTGAATGATGAGGAAAGATTTAAATAATTTTACTTGTTTCCACTAAAGTAAAAGACAAGTGACTGGGGATTTTGTATATCTTCAGTTATGTGCACAGTGCTGTAGTTTGGAAAGGCATAAAATACTTCGCTGAGGGGGGGATTTGGATGGACATTTCAAAAAAAAAAAAAAAAGTCCCAGTAACAAAGACAGCAAAACACTGCCTGGATTAGGTGACTGCGTGTTAGGACAGAGCTCAGTGAAGACTGGTGTTGTCTCAGCGAAGGAATAAGGGCTCCTCCATCCCAGGCGCACCTGTGCTTACCTAGGAGCCACCAACTCCTCCTGCTGTAAAGCAATGGGAATAGAGCCATTCAGACAAAATGTAGGTACTGTGTTTCTTACAATCCACAGCCTCTTGTGCAACAGGATTGTATTTGCCGTAGCCAGAGCGGGCACGATAAACCTGCACGTAAAAGGAAATGACCCCTTTTTCAATTGCTTATAACTTCATTAAACTTTGGGACAGTTGTGCTGAAATTCTCTCCACCAGGTCCTTGCCTCGGGCTGCTCAAAATGTGTGTGATCGGACAGAGCATTTGCAGTGTCAATCCCACAGCAAACTGGGGCCAGGCTCACTCAGTCATGGAAGCAGGCGGTGCTGGCGTATCTTGGAAAAGCACATTGTCAGCTCAGAAGCATCCACGTGCCAAATTTTCTGGTGGAACAAATTTTGTGGAAAAAGTAATGGCATATCTGCCTTCAGATGGAGTGGGCAATTGGAGATAATTCTTCTAGAGACAATCCTAGACTCTTGTAACAATGGCTCAATCAGAGGTCAAAGAAAGGTGAATGATGAGGAAAGATTTAAATAATTTTACTTGTTTCCACTAAAGTAAAAGACAAGTGACTGGGGATTTTGTATATCTTCAGTTATGTGCACAGTGCTGTAGTTTGGAAAGGCATAAAATACTTCACTGAGGGGGTGATTGGATGGACATTTCAAAAAAAAAATAAAATATCCCAGTAACAAAGACAGCAAAACGCTGCCTGGATTAGGTGACTGCTTGTTAGGATAGAGCTCAGTGAAGACCGGTGTTGTCTCAGCGAAGGAATAAGGGCTAAATGCCCACACCACGGATACCCCAGGTATTTTTCCAGTGACTCTCTCGTAATTTAGCAAAAGGCAGGGATGAGGGGGTGACATGGCCAAGTGTGCAGTCATCCTATGCTGATTTCAGCAAGATATGATAAAAATTATATTACACACACACAAACACAAATTATATTCTTCTTCCAAACTTAGAATAAACAATAAATTTAAAAGATTCCTTTATAGAGAGGCGGAGAGGATAAAAGCATTGCTGTTTCCTCTTATAATCTTCAAGGAAATCAGAGTTCAGTGAGTCATGCACTAGAAATGAGCTCAGTGAAGTTCATGTAGGG